TTATTAATCACTATGCTTTAATTATGTTCAATTTGTAACAATGAAATTGGGGGTCACCACAACATGAGGAACTGTATTAAAGGGTTGCGGCATGAGGAAGGTTGAGAACCGCTGGTTTAGAACCTCAGAATGTGGCCTTATTTTGGAAGAAGGATCTTTGCAGACGTTATTAGTCAAGATAAAGTCATACTGGCTTAGGGTGGGCTCTAATCCAGTGACTGGTGTCCTTATAAGAAGACCATGGACACATGGGAGAACCAGAGGTGAAGATGGAGGCAGAGATTGGAGTGACACATCCACAAGCCAAGGAATGCCAGGCAACCACCAGAAGCTGAAAGAGGGGCATGAAACAAATTCTCCCTCTCTGTTCCATGAAGGAGGCAGCCTTGTGGACACCCTGATTTCAAACTTCTGACCTCCAGAGCGGTGAGAAAAGACATTTCTATTGTTTCAGCCACCCAGTTAGTGGCGATTATAGTTCCTACAAAACCAATACAAGTAGTGACGGGGAGGGGCGCAAGGTGGGCTTCTGGGTGCTTGAGAGAAGTTTCTTTTTTTAAAAAAAAAATATTTTATTGAGTTTTTACAGAGAGGAAAGGAGAGAGATAGAGAGTTAGAAACATCGATCAGCTGCCTCCTGCACACTCCCCACTGGGGATGTGCCCGCAACCAAGGTACATGCCCTTGACTGGAATCGAACCTGGGACCTTTCAGTCCGCAGGCTGATGCTCTATCCACTGAGCCAAACCGGTTTCGGCTTGAGAGAAGTTTCTTAATCTCGATATATCCAGACGGGAAAATGCACTGAGCTGTCCACTTGTGATGTGTGCCTTGTCTCTGTAAGAATGCTCTAGAACAGTGATGGCAAATCTATCACATGCGTGTCAGAGGTGACACGCGAACTCATTTTTTTGGTTGATTATTTTTTTGTTAAATGGCATTTAAATAGCGGAGCTCAAAAGGTTCGCCATCACTACTCTAGCACAAGCAGACATAACAAAGAGACATCTCTCGCCCTAACCGGTTTGGCTCAGTGGATAGAGCGTCAGCCTGTGGACTGAAGGGTCCCAGGTTCGATTCCGGCCAAGGGCATGTACCTTGGTTGCAGGCACATTCCCAGTAGGGAGTGTGCAGGAGGCAGCTGATCAATGTTTCTCTCTCATTGATGTTTCTAACTCTCTATCCCTCTCCCTTCATCTCTGTAAAAATATCAATAAAATATATATATTTTTTTAAAAAAGACATCTCTCAACCCCTCGTCAGAAACCAGACTTGGAGTGGGGGGCAGGAGAAGAGTTCAGGACTGACCTTTGTGCTGCGGCTCTTCGGGGGCTCCATTGGCCATGGTCGGGGTCGGAGACACCAGTGTCCCATCCTGGGCCAGGGCCTGGGGCCTCTGCTTGCTCTTGGCGGCTTCAATGGCCTTGAGTTTTCGGGCATGTTTGTGGCCTTTATAATGTGCTTCAGCCTGGTTCTGGGGTGGGGAGGGCATAGGGTCACCATTCATTCTCTGAGTCTACATGTCCTATCCACAAGCCGGCACTGGACATGGGGCAGGTCAGAGGGAGGCAGGGCTTGGGCCACACAAGGAGGGAATCCTTGTCACTGCCATCATCATCACAGTATGTGCATGGTCCTGAGGCTTACAGAACACATTCTCATACGTGAGCTCCCAGGCCAGCAGCCTCTGGCTTTCAATTCTGACTCAGCCACTGAGTAGCTGTGCATCTTTGGGCAAGTCACCTCACCTCTCTGAGCCTCGGTTTCCTCACTCAAACTCTGCGTTAACACTGGCCTCCCAGGATTGTGAGAATTAAATGAGAACCTGAATGATCAGTGCCTCGTCCATACAGTAGGTGCTCAGTGAATGTTAGTTACCATGTTTATAAATGCACAAATGGAGAAAACAGAGCAATCCTCATCCTTTGGGACAGGTGCACCACAGACCACTCATCCCTTTTTCATAGTTTCAACAAATAGTTATTGAGCATTGGCATTTGCCAGGCACTGAGAAGGGGCCCAGCATGAACACATAGATCTTCTCTCCAAGGGAAGTCTCTCTGTCCAGCTGGTTCACAACTTGTAACCTGAAAGCCTGGAGGAGCCCCCATATCCGGCCTGGTAGTGTCCTCCCGCCTTCAACCAGGGGTCCCTGCTTATTGCTCCCAAATGCAGCAAAGACAGGCCCCTCCCTGGACACTTTCATTAGAACAGGTCAGCTGAGAGCATCTCCCCAAATCCCAGAGTTGCCTGGACAGAAGGTAAACCTTCCCTGAGAAGCCAGGAAGAGGCGCCTTCACGATCCAGGGGCAAGCTATGGTAGAAAGTATGCAGGCCTTGGGGTCAGCCAGGCCTGGGTTCAGATCCCAGCCTTGCTACTTACCAGCTGTGTAGCCTCAGGCAGGTTACTCAACCTCTCTGAGGCTCAGTTTCCTCATCTGAAAAGGGGATGATAATTGCACCTCTATCCACCTCACAGTTGTATCATGAGACTAATTAAGACAATAGGCACGAACAAACATCCTATATAATAAAGAGGTAATATGCAAATTGACCCTCACGCCCTCACAAAGATGGCTGCCTACAACCAGGCTGGCAGGGGGGTTAGTGAGGGACGACCAAATGACTGAACACCAGGCTGCGTGGGGTGACCAGGCCAGCGGAGGGGTGGGGGGTGGGCCGTGAAGGGCAACCAGGCTGGCAAAGGGGGCAGTTAGGGGGGATTAGGCCAGCATGCAGAGGCAGTGAGGGATGATCAGGCAGGTGGGGGGGGCAGTTAGGGGCAACCAGACAGGCAGGCAGGTGAGCGATTAAGAGCCAGCAGTCCAGGATTGTGAGAGGGATGTCCCCCAAGGGGTCCCAGATTGGAGAGGGTGCAGGCTGGGCTCAGGGGACCCCCACCCCGGCATGAATTTTGTGCATTGGGCCTCTAGTAGTCTATGAACTCTCAGGTGCTTTAAGAACTCAGCTCCTGCCAGGCTGGCATGGCTCAGTGGTTGAGTGTCAACCTATGATCCAGGAGGTCACGGTTTAATTCCCAGTTAGGGCATGTGCCCAGGTTGTGGTTTCAATTGCCAGTGTGGGGCATGTAGGAGGCAGCCAATCAGTGGCCCTCTCTCATCATTGATGTTTCTATCTTCTCCCCCTCTCCCTTCCTCTCTGAAATAAATTAAAAACAAAAAAACCCACTCAGCTCCAGCCCTGGCCCGTGTTTCTCAGTGGTTAGAAACACCACAGTGTTGCAGGTTTTATTCCCAGTCAAGGACACACCTGGGTTGTGGGTTGGTTCCCCAGCCCCAGTCAGGGCGTGTGTGGGAGGCAACCAATCGATATGTCTCTCTCACATTCAAGTTTCTCTCTGTCTGTCTCTCTCCCCCTCCCTCCCTTCCTTCCTTCCACTCTCTCTAAAAATCAATAGGGGGAAAAATCCTCAGGTGGGGATTAACAAAACAACAAAACAAAAACAAAAACAAAACCCCAAAAACTCAGCTCCTGCCCTGGCTGGGTAGCTCAGTTGGTTAGAGTGGCATCCAAGGTCGCAGGTTCAATCCCTGGTCAGGGCACATACAAGAATCAACCAATGAATGCACAAATAAGTGGAAACACATTATGTCTCTCTCTCTCTTTCTCTCTCAAAATAAATACATAAAAATTGTTAAACAACATATTAAAAGAAAAAACACACAAAACTCAGCTCCAAACCAGGAGCTGATGGGTGGCTCCTGGGACCAAAGTGGGGAAGGGCAATGTCTCTCTCTCACACTCTCTCTCATTTAAAATTATGTTTTTATTGATTTTTAGAGAGAGGAAAGGAGAGGGAGAGAGAGATAGAAACATTGATGAGAAACATCATTGATCGGCTGCTTCCTGCACGTTCCCTACTGGGGATTGAGCAGGCAGCCCGGGCATGTGCCCTGACCGGAAATCAAACCGTGACCTCCTGGTTCATGGGTCGCTGCTCAAGCACTGAGCCACGCCAGTTGGGCAAGCCTTCTCTCCTGCAGAAGGGTCCAGAACACAGGGGAGAAGCACAGGAGGGAAATGGAGTCCCGGTGGGACCGAAGAGGAACGGGGCAGAGGACTCTGGATAGAGAAGAGGATGGATGAAGGAAGGACCAGGAGTGCCTCTTTTGCAGCCACGGATAGAAATCTGAGACCACGGCCCTTTTGCTACGCCTATTCCTCCAGGAAAGATCCCAGACGCCCAGTCTCCAGCCCTCTCCCTGCCCAGCCCCTTCCCCAGCATGTTTCCGCTACTCCCTCTCACCGCGGAGTTGAACCTCAGGTGACAGATGTTACAGGAGATGAAGAGCTTCTTCTTCAGAGGGGAGGGGACCCCAAAGGTGTGGCTGATGACAGCTTTCTGGACGGGGTCCATCTGTGAAGGGGTGGGAGGGCACAGTAACTCTGGGGTTGCCTCCGGAAGGGGGCAGTACAAAACGCCCCGAACTAAAGGCTACCAAGGAGGGCAGTGGGCACCCTTAGGAAGAACTTTACCATCTTGTGATGCCAGACCCAACACAAGAAACAGCCTGGTCCCTGGCCGACTTTATCTGTCAGCCCGGGCTTCCGCTTGGAGGCAGGGAGATGGCCAAGGTGCCCTCCACGATCTTGAGAGAGAGAACCATGTCCTGGTGATCACCTTGGCATTTCTTGCTGCCTCTGGCCTCTGATTTTGTTTTGTTTTTCTCATTCACAAGAATCATATATGGGGACAGATTCTTGGGGGTAGGGAGAGGCAGGGAAGGGACAGAATCCCGCTGTTGGAATTTCCTCTCCCGTAACCCTTGTGCTGGACCTAATGACTGGGGAGATCAGGCTCATCTTATGAGCTCTGCCACTGCCACAGGGCCTGAGCGGGAGAGGAGGCCCGGCCAGGGGCGGGGAGGGGGGGGGGCGGCCAGGATGGGGCAGGTGACAGCAGGTAGAGGCCCTGAGTAGTGGAATCATTTCTTTGCAATGTTAATGTGTGTGTGTCTTTTTCTTTTTCTTATTTTACATAATTTTTTCTTCTCTTTTCTCAGGGGCCTAGATTGTTGGGCCAAAAGCGGAAGCCATCTGGGCTTGCTTGTCCAGAACTTTCTGTTCTCGGCTCTCAGGAAGGCTGAGAGGGAAAAGCATGATTTCAGGAACTTCCTTGAGAACAGAAAGAGATTCTAATTCCCACAGCAACCAGGGCCGAGGCAGCAGGGGACAGGGCCTCAGAGAATGGCCTGCAGGGCCCCCAGCGGTCAGGACAACAGCGCTTCACCCATTCCTGAGGGTCCATGTGCCTGAACAGTGAGCATGTCAGCAAGTGACAGCAGAAACCTAAGACCAGAGGACCCTCCCCAAATGCCTCAGGTTCCTGGGCCCTCTGTGCAGCCCTGGAGGGCAGGCAGGGAGGAAGGGACTCCTCAGGGTGACTGAAGCCGAATTCCCCACCATCTTGTCAGGGGGGTTGGGGCTCACTGATGATTGCATTTGATTTTTCAAAATTAAAAAGGGGGTAGCTTTCCTTATGGCTCATGTAGTGAAGTCTAATTCATGCTCACTACCCTTGTTCTTCACACACATACACACATGGAAATACACAGACTAAGATACAGAGAGCACAAGAGCTTACAGACAGTTACAGGTTACAGTGCCATGCAGAATAACACACACACACACACAAAGGGCATACAGACAAAGGCACAATCACCCAACCCATACAAAACACACTCAGAGGTCAGACACACACCAGAACACACATAGTCAAACGCAAAGACACGAAACATCTCTCAGCTACCCATGCTCACATATTACATGCGGAGAAAGAAAGAGTTGTTTACAAACAGACACACAGGACACCAACACACAGCCACATCCACAAATAACACACAAAGACCTATGGATTTACAAACTAACAGAGAAAGGCACACTCAGTTGCACACACAAATCATCCATAGAAGTCCCTATACCAAAACTCCAGTGAAATCTACAGTACAGACCCTACAGGCCCAGCCGTTGTTACTGGGGGGACACCATTCTCCTCCCTTTGCCCAGAGAGCTGGGCCTGGGGGTCTCTATTTGGGGAGCACCTGGTCTCTTGGGGATGTTGGAGGGAAATGAGCTCCTGGTTAGACCCACCTTCTGAGAACCGGCCCACCTGAGCCCACCTTCCATGCCCACCCCAGCTCGGCTGCACGCCCCCCGCCCGCCGGCCCAGCCCGTACCGTGCTGAAGTTGGGGAAGAGACTGAGCGGGGCAGCGCCATTGAAGTGGAAGGCCAGCAAGTGCTTGAAGTCCAGCGGGGGCTGCAGAGGCCTGGCAGCCAGGGGCAGGGAGGCCAGCAGGGGGCTGGGGGTGCTGGATGCTGGGCCTGCTGCAGGAGGAAGAAGGGCAGGGTCTGAAATGGGGAGCCACAGGGCACTCCTGCCCCCACAGCCAGGAGAAGCGGATGGGCTTCTTGGGCGTGCAGCCAGGACAGAGCTTCTGTCTCCCTCGTCACAAAGTAGCCCTGGCCAAGCCCAGGGCAAGGACAGCCCACCTCTGTGCCTCTCCTCCCCACAACTGGGGCAGCAGAAGCAGGGGATCCACCGAGGAAGGAGGACCCTCCTGTCCTTACAGGGGCCCAGATGAATGCTTCCGGGGACCCAGGCCAAGGGCGGGGACAGAGGCGTCAGGGCAGGCCCCCGACACACACACGGCACCATGGAGACTGCACATGAGCTGGGTTTCCTCTTTATTGCAAATTAAACCCAACCCAGGAGGCCTGGGGAAAGGTCATCCCCCTCCCTTCTCACTTCCCCTACATCATGCCCAGCAAGGGCTGTCAGAGAGGATGGGAAACCCTTGGAATCTGAAGGGATGTGTCCCCCAGCGCTGGTGAGGCCCCAGCTGCTTCCCCCAGGAGGCACAAAGCGCCCCGTTGGCATCCCTGGGTCAGGCCTTGAGGGGTGGAGGGGGCGGTGGAGGGTCGGGAACACTGTGGTTTTACAGTCTTTGGTCTTAAAGGTCTGAGGCAAGGAACTTGGGAGAACAACCAGACTTCAAAAAAGAAGAAAATTAGTAACAAGTCCAGTTCATTTGGGACGTTTTTTAGACCCTATCACTGCAAAACAAAAAGAAGTCCTTTTAGATTTGTGTGTTACGTTATGAAAAATAGGGTAGATTTATTTCCTATTTATAGATTGATCTGTCTATACACATGGTCATACACATAAAAGCCTCGGGCAGCCTGGGTGGGGCGGGCAGGGCGGGCAGCACCGCCTCCCTCGAACTGTCAGCTGTGCACAGAGTGCTGTGCTGTGTCAGAGACAAGGACCGTGGTCTGCTTTCCGGTCGTATGTGAAGAGAAGAGACGCTGCCAGGAGCGGGGCTGAGAAAGGCAAGGACCACATTCTACTTTCCCTCAATCCCTTAATTCTAGAGCCCCGGCCTTCCTCCCTCCAAACAAGAACCCCCAACATTTTTAAGGCCAAAACGTGGGATGAATACAAAATGAAAAGGGTGAGCTCCTCCTCACCAAACTCTAGAATGGTCAGGAGCAATAGTTCGAGTGCCCCAGACCCTAGCATCTCTCCGCTGCCCAGGCCCCCCTTGACCCAGGCCCTCCTCCACAGCCCGCAGCCCACCCGGCTGGGTTAGTCCTCAGCGTGGAGCAGAAGCATGGGGAAGGGGAACGGAAGGCCACAGTTAGTACGGCAGCTCGGATGCAGCATGGGCAAGTCCCGCTTGGCCCTTCGAGGACCCAGGGCCTCAGGCTGGCTGGATAGAGGGAAGGAGGCCACCCTCACGTGAGCTGCGACCCCAGCAACCCCTCCCCCCACCCACTCTCTAAAAACTCCACGGCCAGCGCAAAGTCAAACTCGTGTAGCGGGGGACCATCCACAGCGATCTTGACCACAGGGTCGCCCCGGCCTTCCCCGGCCCCGTTCTGCCCCCACCACCGCAGCTCCCGGCTGCGCCTCCTCCACTTCTCCACCAGAACTCCAACTAACCCTTCAAGGTTTTTTAACAGTCACACTGCATCCAGAGTTAGTCAGACCTTCTGCTGAGATCAATGACACTTTGTTTAAAGCTCTTCCATAGCTCTTCCCACTCTTTATTCTGATTATGTATTTCCATGTCTAGCTCTTCCCAGACTTAAGAAGAACTCAGAAGTAAGGTTTTATTTGTCTTTGCTAACCACGGCATCCAGCGAGGGCCCGGGGTAGGAGTCCCGCAGCCCTTTCTGCAGGGAGTCCAAGAAGGCCCCCCGCAGCCGCTCCAAGTCCCGGAGCGCAGCCTCGGAGTAGCCGACCAACTCCAGGCCGCGGTAGGTACAGCGCTCACCGCCCGAGTCGGAACTGGAGGACGCCAGCTCCTGCAGGAAGCCCTGGAGGCGCGCGCCACCGGAGCTTCGCTGCGCTTGGAGGGAGGCCGCCGCTGCCATCACCAGGGGCTGCAGCAAGGCCAGGTGTGGATCTTCCGGCTGCAGGACAAGGGCGAGCTTCTGCACGCAGGGCAGAGTGTCCAGCAGCAGGTGGGTGAAGGCCACGAAGGTGAACTGGCGCAGGGCGAGGGCCAGTGCCCTAGCTGTTGGTGAGGCTAGGGCAGAGGCCTCCAGTGTGGGCACCAGGCCAGGCCAGGCCTCAGCCACTGCTTCCACCACAGGCAGCAAAGAGGCCCAGGGCACTGGCCGTGGTCCTGTCAAGTCGATGGCTGCAAGGTCCAGTGCTGCCCGGAGCTCAGGGACCATGTGAGAACTGGGACCACCGTGGAGGCGGAATAGGGCATCCAGTACACTTTCATATTCACCTAGGTAGGCAGGGGGCTCAGGATCTGGCCGGCCAGGGAGGCAGTGTAGCTCCGTGAGCAGCGGGCAGGTGGCCCGGAGCTGCAGGCCCACACTCCCCAGGCAGTCCCTGGGGAGGCTTGAGCTGAGCCAGGCTAGCTTGGGAGCGGACACACCGAAGGCCTGCAGGATGTCCAGGAGTTGGCCAGCAGTGTCCTCGCCCTCCTGTAGCTCCACACTGCCCAGGAAGGTGGTGGCAGGCTGGCCATCACAGGGTGACACCGACGTGGCAAACAAGGCCAGACTGTGGGACTCAGGCCAGTCTCTGGTCTTGTCCAACACCAACCCCACATACGGGGATGCCTTCAGGCACTGGCAAGCCTCTGTGTGCAAGACACTGGCAATGGCCACCTGGGACAGCCAGAGAGAGAGAGGGAGGGTGGGCAGAGTTAGGCTTGTCCTGAGCAGGGTAGGCAGACAGTACAGGGTGATCGCAAGAGCACAGGCCTTGGGGTCAGACAGGCTTGGGGACTAATCCTAGCTTTGCCACTTACAGGCTGTGTGATCTTGGGCAAGTCATTTCACCTCTCTGAGCCTCAATTTCTTTACCTCTAAAATCAGGCTCATCGGTGCCCATAACCTCCTCCAAAGGTTGTTGTGAATTATAAATACAGCTTTTTGTTTTTGTGCTGATAAATGAAAAATGCTTTGTAAACTGTAAAAGTTCTACAGAGTTTGGTGTGTGTGTGTATTTCTACAGCATCACCCAGTCTGCCTTATTCCTGGGGATCTCCCTCCTCTCTGCTGTCCAGGGATTAACTGATAGACATGTTCACTCCTAACTCCTGGCCAGTGACATAGGGCCCCAGCTGTGTGTTCTGTTTGTCTGTTTGCCACATCTCTGTAAGATGAGATCAACTCCCCCACCCACACACCAGCCCCTATGCTCATACAGCTAGTAAGTACCTAGGACAGAGCTGCAACTTGCATGCCCACAGGGGCCACGAGGGATTTAATCCTGAGCTCAAAGTGGGCCAGGGATAAAACAGGGAATGGGGAAGTCCGTACTTGCTCCCCAACTCCACCACTTCATGCCCTGAGAGCATGGGGACCTAGTTTTTCAGTACAAGTAACAAATCCAGATTTTCACATGTAATCTCTTGTTTTGTTAAACTTGGAAGCTAATTAAAAATTTTAAAAAACACCGTGGCCCTGGCTAGTGTGGCTCAGTTGGTTGAGCGTCAATCCCATGCATCAAAGGGTCATTGGTTCGATTCCTGATCAGGACACATGCCTGGATTGCAGGCTTAATCTCCCTGTAGGGGGCGTGCAGGAGACAGCTGATCGATATTTCTCTCTTGCCCTCTCCCTTCCTCTCTGTCTAAAATCAATAAAAACAACCCTGCCGGTTGCTCAAAAAGGCCCAGCTGGTGTTGTTCAGTGGTGGTGGAGTGTCGACCTATGAACCAGGAGGTCACAGTTCGATTCTTGGTTAGGGCACATGCCCGGATTGCAGGCTTGATCCTGAGTAGGTGTGTGCAGGAAGCCGAA